TTTTTTTTTTTTTTTTTTTTTTTTTTTTTTTTTTTTTTTTAATAGATTTACAGTTTTGAAGGGCCAGTTGTTGCTATGAACCTCTTCCGTATCCTTATGTAAATTTGCCAGTTTTAAGACAAGTGGAAAGCATATATTTTCTCTCACTGGTTCCACGCCACCTATCATATTTACTTTGCTTGAAGCAAAAGCATTTCAAAATTGAAAGAAAAAAGTCTAAATGATCTCTGTATTCAAGTTTTGGTTTAGTAAATAAAACTATATCACCGCAGCTACTTTATAAACGGGATATTGGAAAACGTTTCTACAACTCAGGTTTCTCTCCTCTCCCAATAAGACTCAGAAAACAGAAGAAAATGTCAGTCAATATCATTTCTAAAAATATTAGGGATTTATTTAAAATCCACCAAAAAATGACCTAAAACTTCTCAATAAACTTGTGACAAGAAACCAAATATCAGTACACAAAACCCATCTGTATTAATAAATACAAAGAAAATCTTTTACAAGTTACTGTTATAGTAGCTGGCATCTAGCTAATGCTTACTCCTTTCTGTATCTTAGGAATACTGACAGCCACCCATCCATCAGCCATCCGAGCGCCTCTTACATACAATCAACAGGAACGGCAGAGTCCCTAGCACACTTCATGAAATCTTTAGAATTTCTCCCTTTTGTGGTAAAAACATTTGTCTTTGTTCTGCTTTTTTAAACATTTATTTTGCATTTTATATCTGTATTACTTCAAAAGTTTTAAAGAGAGAGGTCAGGTTTCCGTCTGTTTGTTTTGTGGTGAGGGCAAGGGGAACTTTTTTTTTTAATCCATTGACATCAGTCGCAAGAGTCTGATTTCAACTGGGTAAGATTAAAGCCAAAGTGAATGTTGTGGGATTAAACTGCATTTTAAGGAAAGTGAGCTTTGCTCTACCTCTGACAAAAATTAGTTGCCAAGGATGGGTTTGAGGACAAGAATCAAATGAGAGATTCGTATTTGTCCCCTTAGTATATATATGTATTAGGATACAGTATCCAGTTATATGAGCATATATTATTTTTCCAGAGCATACCAGTGCCTGTAGTGGTTATGCAAAGTGGGAAGAAGACTTAAAGGTATGCCATCAACTATAAATCTTGTTTGTCCTAACTTTTGAGTTGAATTAACTTTGAAGTTTAAATAATGTTCCTTTAACACAGGGTTTTGTTTTTTGTTCATTTGGTCTGTCTGTTTAATGTAATTTTAATAAGTGCTCTGGACAACAAAATCACACAGTAGTGATTTTGCATATATACAAGCTCACATCCATTTTTATCTTTTATTGATTTAGTTTTCATGAAGTAGGAATTGAATTGTTTGAACAAGCTGATAGAAATGTTAACTGCTACACCTTTAAAACATGTTTCCATTTCCTATTTTGGAAATGTCAGTTAGCCATAACATCTCTCCCTCATTCCTCCAAGAGTGCTACACAAGAATAAGTGCTTCATTCCTCTAGTGAAAGAAGCCCACTTACAAAAAGCCATGCTACATGTCAGATGAATAATGACAGGCCTTAAGAAAGACCTCCTGTGGTCCTTGTTTGCCAAAATATATAGTGATGTGAATCAGGCACAGAATCTGCACCTTTTAACAGCATTTAGACTAGCTTCCTATTGAACAACTAAGACATATTTTTTCATTTGTCTCTGAGTTTGAACTGTGCAGATATGATTTTTTTTTGGTAAGTGCATGTCATTTCCTATTTGTACAGCGTGGAGCGCAATGGGATTTCAACTGAGTTGGGCCTCTTGGTGCAACCAAAATCACAAAGATTAAATTTAGAAAAAGGTTTAAATGACCATTTTTACTCAAATACAAGACGAACTTGAATTTAAGATGACACCCCAATAATCAGATTCTATCCATGGAAAACCTGTAAATTTATTAGATTCTATAAATGAAAATTTTAATGATTAGAGGATCATCTTAAATTCGTCCGTCCCCCCCTCTACTGCACACAGTGGAGGAAGAGGTGAGAAGGAGGGCAGCTGTGGGACAGACAATGGGGAAGGTAATAGGAAGGCATGTGGTGGGGCAAGATTTTTTTTTGGGAGGAGGGAGGAGTAATGAGGTAAGCAGTGGAGAGAGCTGTGAGAGACAAACAGTGTGGAGGCAATAAGGCAGGCAGTGAGGGAGGCAGGCAGCTAGCCCCCTGTTGCACGTTTGTCCCCCGCCCCCATTTACCCTTCTTGTACCTGCCCTCTGCAGCCTCATGTCCCCATTCCCCTTCCACTAACCTCCTCTTCCTCACTCCCTACCCCTTCTGCCCTCTGCAATCTCAGGTTCCCACCCCCCACCTTCTTCTCCCCCCACCACCCCATGCCTCTCCCTCCCCTTACCTTTACTCTGCGCTAGCAGGCTCTGTCCCTGCTCCAGCCTGGGGTCACTCAGTACGGCTCCAGCCTGGCCCCATAGCAGTGGCATGGAGCCAATACCACTGCTACAGGGCTGGGCTGGAGCACATGCTCCGTGTTCAAGGCTGCAGCAAAGATGAAGCCTCCTTGTGTGGAGCAAAGGTAACGGGGATTGCAGCAAGGATGGATAGAGTGGGAGAAGGGGATACAGGGGCTTGAGGGAAGGAAGGATACAGTGGGAGAAGGGGAAGCAGGGGCTTGAGGGAAGACTGACTGGGGTGCAGACGCAGCAGAGGGCAGGCAGCAGCTGGTGGCTCTGGCCCCACCCCA